TTACACTGTACAATGCTTTGGGTGGTATTACACTACTAACTTTTAAAACTATGGTAGAAGATCATAACACAGAATTTTCTAACTTTAACCACTTTAAAGTATATGATTCAGTGAAAGGCATTAAGTATATCCACGATACCATACAACCATCACTGCTATATATTTCCAAACCATTTTCATCACCCCAAACTGAAACTCAGTACCCATTAAACACAAAGTACTCATTCACTCCCCCGAAGCCCCTGGAAAAACCACCATTCTAGTTTCTGTCTCCATGAATTTACCTATACTAGGCATCTCATATAAATAGACTCATACAAAATGTGTTCTTTTGTGTCTATTATTTTGCTTAACATAATATTTTTCAAAATTCTTCCATGTTGTAGCATATATATCTGAATATATATCTGAATTTCATTCCTTATTATAGTTGAATAATATTCCATTGAAGAGGATTGTGTGAGGGTTTCTCTATTCATATAACACCCTGACATACCCAGTGTGTAGGCTGTTTCCACAGCAAGCAATTCTCTGGAACTTTATGCCCATCCACTGGGTAGACTACATTTTAATTTTAATTCTAAAACTAAATCAAGTTAGTGCAGGTCTCATGTATTAAAGAGCTTGGTCCCAGAAGACTGCCTCCATGTCAGATGCCAATTCAACCCCAGGCTTCACACCAGTGACTATAAATCCAAGGTTTCCACAGTGCCCTTCTCCTCAGGTTCAATAATTCATTAGAACAGCTCGGAAAACACTTATTTGTGTTTATCAATTTGTTATAAGGGCTACAACTCAGAAATAGCCAATTGGAAGAGACTCATAGAGCAAAGTATGTAGAAAGGGGTATGAGCTTCAAAACCCCCTCTCTAGGTGTGCCAGTATCCGGGTATCTCCATGTGTTTAGCAACCTAAAAGATCTCCAAACCCTGTCTTTTGAGTTTTTAGGGATAGTTTCTTATGCATCATTGGCCTTTAGTGATCAGTTCAACCTTCAGTCTCTTTCCTTTCCCCAGAAGATGGGGATGGGACTGAAAACTCCAACTTTTGTTTGGGTTCCCCAGCAACCAGCCCTACCCTGAGATTATCCAGAAGCCCCCTGCCACCAGTCATTCATTAGCATACAAAAGATGCATATTACTTTGGAATTTCCAAGGGTTTGGTGAACTCTGTGCCAGGAAATAGGGGCAAAGACCAAGAATTTCTTATTATGTCAGAACCATTGTATGTATATTCCATAGTTTGATTATTGATTCATCCGTAGATGAACACTTGGGTTCATTCCACTTTGGGGTTATAGTATATAAAACTGCTATTCACATATAAGTATCTGTGTTTGATTCTTTGGGGTATATCTCTAGAAGTAGAATTGCTGGGTTACAAGGTAGTCCTATGTTTAATTTTTTGAAGACCATCGAACATTTTTTCCATAGTGGCTGCACCATTTTATATTTTTACCAGAAATGTTTGAGGGTTCCAGTTTCCACATTTTCATCAACTCTTGTTATTCAGCCATCCTAATGGGCGTGAAGTGGGAACTATTTTAATTCCATTGGCTAAGAATAAAATTAACCTAATCAAGAACAAAGAAAATCACATTTATTTGGGGCTTTATTTGTTGGATTGTAATCCTGGAAAACACAGACTAAATCAGTCTTGAAAATATGCTCTAAGGTTTCACAAAATTTTAGCTGTAATTATAATTTTAAACTACAAGGGGTTTGGAAATCACATCACTCAATGATTAGAATTTATGAGTGATTGCGGCAGTCTGGCTGGGCACAATTCAGGAGCCACTTGTCAAAAGAAACTAACTTTATTTTTAGAACCACACACGCCAAACAAAACAGCTCCTCAGGAAAAACCCTCAGAGACCAACTGCCACCACCGGCTTCCCACAAGCCTCTCACACAAAAAACACAAGCCTCTCCCATTCCCACAATCCTCCTGCTCTTGAGGCCGATTGGCTGGGTCGCATGGGTGGAGCCAAAGAAGTCCCCCAATGAGCAGCTCCGTGGTCTGAAAGGGCAGGGAAACAGCCCAATGAGCATCACCGCAGAGGAGCCAATCCGCTAGATGTTGCTGGGGCCGCTGTGAGCCAATCATCAGCTGGCAGTCTGAAAGGACCGGGAAACAGCTCAATGAGCATCTCCAATGAGCATCACCACAGAGGAGCCAATCAGCTAGATGTTGCTGAGGCCGCTGTGAGCCAATCATCAGCCGGCAGCTGGAAGTTTGCTGGCAGCTGGAAGTTTGCTGAGGCCCCTTCACTGTGGCTCTCAACTGATGCTAGCAGAAGTTAAGTTGTCTTATAAGAAAGTGAATGGGTAAAGTCTTGGTCTCTGGGTAGTTTGGGCAAAGGGGTTCATTGTATAGAAGAAGGTCAGCAGAAGTCAACAATGTTTCAAAAGTCAACTTGCGCTGGGGTGGGAAGTCTGCAGCCCAGTGCAGAAGTTCAGAGGCAGATGTATCCTAGAGCTAAGAATGACCTTAGGACTCCACTGAGTGCCCTCAACCAAATTTGATTTCTGTTTCTCTTTTGCATTTCATACTAGGAAAAACATCAATGGATTTTCTCCAGGCTGCCAATATTGTAATAATTACTCCATGGATTGACTTTTTGTATTATATCCTCAAATATATCTTAGGTATTTTCCCAACATTCAAGAGAAAAAAGACCAGCAACTATATTGTAACTGTGAAAAATAAATCCTTAGAAACAATATGCCTTTAGGGGGTCACATAGCTATCTGATCCAGAGATCAACATGAAACTTGGGATGTAGAACTCCACAATCTTTTAATCCTGCCCCGCCAGATTTATATCACTAGACCACAAAAGCAGGCCTCTTACAACAGACTCTTCTTATCTGGTTTAAGTCAAAATTGATTTCATTCTGAAATAACCAGTTGGGGGATGGATGGAGAAGGAAGAGAACAGGTGGGAGCCAATGGCTGGAGTACCATGGCTGGCTTGGGATTTTCTGCATCACAGGAGTGGTACGAAGCTTGTTCTCTGATAAGTGAAGCCCCCTGGGCTCTTGGGCAGACACTGAAAGACATCAAGCCTTTCCATCATCCCATGTGATGACATACCTCTTATTTAATATGTTTAAATAACATGGAAGTTCTGTTTAAATCTTTAACCATTTGATTCCTGACTTCCGTGGCAGATTAAGATAGTGATTGAGAAAGACAAAAGCAGAGGAATATCTGACTTTGAATATTTGAATTTTTATGAATATAAAATCTTTTTCCTGAAAAGAGGCAAAATCTAACATTGTAGGCCTAGCAATCTTCTAATCATCTTACATTAGCATTGTCATTCGGTACTTTTAGACCATGCTCAGTAAGAAATATTTTATATTGTGACCTACTTACCCACATATGTAAACACATGAACACTATGTACACATATGTACACAATGGCACACACACAAATATCTGAAACAAAAAGTTTACAAAACAGTGTTCAACTTGCAGCATGCTATACCCTCTGATTTCTCGCCCCCCACCCCCATTTTAGTCTAATTTTTAGAAGATTGTGGTTGGGACTCCCAAAATTGATTGCAAAGCCCACTCCTAGACTGCAAGTAGTTTGAAAATCCCTACACTATCCTCACCAGGGCAAGACATATGAGTGCCCCCAGTTTCCTGCTTGATTCCTTCATTTCCGTTTTAGGCTATGACTCCCTTGATTTCCACATCATTTCTGAGAGGCTATGGTTCAGGATGGAGACTGTTCACATGTGTCTAATGAAGTTTCCCCCAAGATCTTGAGCTTGGGGTTCAAAGACATTGAAGAGCAGAAAAGAGCACAGGGCAGACAGGAGCAGGAGTAGAAGCAGATTCCCCTCCCTAGGCTGCCAGCAATGCTGCACATGGTGAAGTTCTGCAGGACCTAGGAGGCCTGGTTTGTGTTAACCATGGCCCTTTTGTTCTCGGGGCTTACATATTTCTTAGGGAGAATTTACATGAACTGTTTTGGTGCTTAGTGCTTCTAAGGGAATGTTTACAAGCATAGGACTTTCCAAGGTTGTGATCAAGGCTCAACCTTAGTGAAGCTTGTCTTAACTGGGGGACAAGCAGGGTCACATGGGGCAAGTCATGGGCAGGCCTTGGGGCCCAGCTCCTTAGTCTGTGAAGCACAGGTCTCCAGAACTTCTAATCTGTAAAGTAAGATTCATTAAGAAATTATAAAATTCAGTTATAAGTTAGGAAATTGGGCTAGAAATGTACATAGAATATTCCTTAGCATATATCTTTTCTAAGGAGTAGATAGAAGAGTGCTGTGAACGCAGATGGCATTATGGAGAATTAAGTGCATGTGATTCAAGCTTCATGAGTCACTAGGTCTCTTTCATGCACTGTCATGATCCCAATAGCACTGAATATAGAGCCATGATGCACCAACTTGTACTGCAAAAATCTTCACTTTTCCTGTTAACCACACATAACCAGCTTCAGGTACTCATTTTACCAGCCTAAGAAAACAGATTGGTGTCTGCAATTTGTGTGTGTAAACAATGTCTACAGTTAAGTACAACTGCAGGAGCCAGGTGGTTTTGATTGCTGTGAGAAGACTTATCACTTTACCATAACCTCCCACCTTTCTGTTTCTTTGGATTCTATGAAGCTGAGGGTTCCCTCAGGATGGCTGACAGCACAATTTACTCCCTTCATTCATTTGCACCCAAGGATTAGAGAGTGAATTGGTCTCTGTACCAGGCATGCAAAAAGTCAGAGACGTTATCTACTCCTGAGCAGAGTGCAGATAATGTTAGCACTGAGGTCCCAAACTTGTTTTAATCTTATAGAACAAAAGACATGCTTTTTAATTATGTACAGAAAAATATCAGAGTGCTTGTGAGGCATTTGGGGATCTAGAATTAAATTTAAGTGAATTTAATTTAAGTGAAATAATATGGAAATCTCAGATGAGAGTTTAAAGAAATGTGTTAATCAGGGTTACACACACACACACACACACACACTTTTTTTTTAAGGAATTTGCTCATTTGATTATGGTGACTGTGAGTGCAAAATCTGCAGGGTAGGCTGGCAGCCAGGAGCCCCAATTGAAAAGCCATTGTTATAGTCCCAGTCCAAAGGCTGTCTGATGAAGAATTTCTTCTTCCTCAAGGATGCCCATTCTTTTTTGTTCTATTCAGGCTTTCAGGGGATAGATGAGTCCTAGCCACCTTAGGAAGGGCAATCTTCTTTACTCAAAGTCTGTCAATTTAAAATGTTAATTTCATTCAAACTACTATAGGTTGAATCGTACATGTCTCCCAGAGACCCCATAGGATAAAGACTTGATTGCCAGCCTGTGGCACTATTCGGAGGTGATGGAACCAAGAGGTGAGACCTAGTGGAAGGAAGTTAGGTCACTGGAGGCATGCCTATAAAAGGGATATTGGGGCCCCAACCCATTACTCTCCCCTGGCTGCCATGAAGTGAATAGATCTCTTCCACCACATACTCCAGCAATGATGTTTTATGCCTCCACAAGCCCAAAGCAATGGGGCCAAATGATCATGTACTGAAATTTCTGATTTTGAGCCCAAATAAACCTTTCTTCCTTTTAAGTTTATTATCTCAGGTATTTTGTCACAGTGATAGAAAGCTGACTAAATACAACACCTTCCCAGAAACATCCAGAATAACATTTAACCAAATATTTGGTCACTGTGGCTCAGACAAGCTTACATATAAGATTAACCATCACAACTCCAGCTCTTGTCAGTCTGGCACCCTTATACATCTCCTTCACACTTAACTTCCAAATAAAGACAATAACCAGGTCACACTTCCACCTAACATAATTATTCAGCATACAACCAAAAATATACTCTTCCCAGAAGATGACACAAAGTTCTTGGGTAATGTTTACTCTTCTCCCTGATAAACCAGTAATTTAAATACTATGATGAAAAGTTAATAGTATTTAAATACTTATACTGTAAAGTCAACCTATCTGATGTTATGCGATGAGGTGATGAGAGGGAATAAAAGGAATATTTTTGTTTAAGTAAAACACACAACTGTGTTCATAACAAAATAATAAATACTCAGGACAATTACAGTCCTGGTTTCTGTAACTGTTCACATGGTCACAGCTGATATTTATAATTACTTTCTTCCCATTTTTTATTCCATTTTCCCTAAGCAAGCATCTCAATTGGTCATGGATTTTTAACTGGAAGGGTGACCCAAATCTTTATTCCTGCAGAGTCTAGGCCATTTACACTCCTGCCAAGCTGGGTTGCTATCATTTTCCACTGACCTTGATCACAGGGCAAAGCAAACTAAGAGATGCCCTATGATCTCCTTTATCCCAGATATACTCTTCCTTACCTCCATTGAAGAATAGTAGACTAAGTTTTCTTTGGTAGATAGGATTAAACTCTCCCATCAGCAAGTATCTCTTTTCTTAGCTTCTTGATGCAAAGGTATGAGGAGCCCAAAGTGTCTTGATAGTAGTCTTAACTTCTAGTTCAATGGAATCCTTGTTGTTTCCTGGTGAAAGCATTCTCCCTCTGGAACTAGGACCTCTAGGCCAACAGAGCATAAGGTTTCAGGAACAAGAAGCTAAAATAAAGCTTGTGGATCACTAGAGAAAATAGTGATTGGTGCCACTCCCATTTTCACCCCTTTATACCTAGATCCATAAATCTTATCTATGGGAGAAAAATCACCATGTACTGGATGCTGACTCAGAGTATATACAGTCTCCTGGAGAACCCTGATCTAGCCCAGCAAGGTACTTCCCTCAAGGTAGTGCAGTAATTGCATCTTCAAAAGGCCATTAGACTGTTCTCTCCAGCCAGCTCCTTTAGGAAGGTGAGGAACCATGGTAAGAAGAGTGAATTCCACAGTCAGGAACTCATTGTCATACTTCTTTTACTGAAAAGTGAAGCAAATGCTTAGTCAGAAGCAACACTGCATGGATACCATGATGGTGGATAAGGCATTGTGAAACATCTGTAGATTGTAGTTTTGGCAGATGTATCGATTACAGGGAAGTCAAACTTGTATCCAGAGTCTATTCCAATAAAGACAAAGCACTGATGTTTCCATGATGGGTGAAGTCTATTGTAATCTACCTGCCATCAGGTATTTGGTTGATCACTCTGGAGAATGGTTCCATACTGGGGGCTCCACTACCAGAGGATTAGACAATCAGAAGTGGTCATAGCCAGGTTGTCCTTGGTTGAGTAGTAGAGTTCATGTTTCTGAGTCCGTGCTTAACCTCCACCCTGGCCACCATGGCCACTTTATTCAGGAGACTATTGGTTGATGACAGGGGTGGCTGGGGAAAGAGGCTGACTGTACCCATAGAATGTCATCTTTTTAAAAATTTTTAAAAATTGTTGATGGACCTTTATTTATTTGCTTATTTATATGTGGTGCTGGGAATCGAATCCAGTGCCTGACACGTACGAGGCAAGCACTGTATTGCTGAGCTACAACTCCAGCCCCTAGAATGTTATCTTAACCCCTTGATTATTAAACTCTTCCTCTGCTGAGATTGCCCTTTGATGAGCATTCATAGGGGACACTCATAACTTCATGACTTTTTGTGCATTCAGAAAGTTCTGTCCACACGCCTCTTTCCCAAACTTTCATGTCCCCTGTATTTCAATAATATTCCTTCCAAGTCACTGAACATCCAACCATAGCTCTGGCTATAGCCTGGGAACTGATAAATAATTGAACCTCTGGCCATTTCTCCTTTCAAGCAAGAGAACAGCCAGGTATACTATTCAATGGGAACCATCACAGGGATTTACTCGGGAGCATTATTGGAATATCTGCCGCAGGACTGAATTATGTATCAGATCATCATGTAAGTAGCTGTGCTGGGGCCTTTGTTATTCTAACAATTCAGTGAGTAATTATCCAGTTCTATTACTAAAACATCGATGTTTTAGTCAACTATTTTGCTGCTGTGACTAAAAGACCGAATCAGAACAATTTTAGAGGAGAAAGTTTATTTGGGGGCTCATGGTTTCAGAGGTCTTAGTTTATAGAGGGCTGGCTCCATTCTTTGGGGCTCAAGGTGAAGCAGAACATCAATGACAGAAGAGCGAGGCAGAGGGAAGCAACTCACATGGTGATAAGAAAGCAGAGAGAGTCTCCACTCTCCGGATACAAAATATATACCCCATAGTCATGCCCTAATTCCCACCTCCTCCAGCCACACGCTACCACTTCAGTTACCATTCAGCTAGTCCCTATCAGGGGACTAAATCACTAATTGGGTCAGGGCTTTCAGAACCCAATCATTTATCCTCTGAACCTTTTTTTATTTTCTTACACTGAGCTTTTGGGGACACCTCATAAACATAACTCCTGAATTCTTCCTTAGAAATAGTATTACTATAAAGTATGCTGGTGAGTTTTCAGATCAACAGAACAAGCAATAGCCATATCCAAAACTACACATAAATAAAAGTTAAAAAAAAAAACAAAACAAACTAAAGAAGCCAAGAGTGGCGATGCATGCCTGTAATCCTAAAGTTTCGGGAAGCTGAGATTGGAAGATTAATAATAGTTCAAAGGCAGCCTCAGCAAAGGCGAGGCACTAAGCGACTCAGTGAGACCCTGTCTCCAAATAAAATACAAAATAGGGGTGGGGATGAGGGTCAGTGGTTGAGTGCCCCTGAGTTCAATCTCTGGTACTCCTCCCAGTCCCCCCCCCAAAAAAAAAACATAAAGAAAAGGCAAGTATTTTTACCAGCCAAACAGACATCATGAACATGGTAATTGCTCTGTGATTAAAAATACATACAGAGGGAAAATTTTAGCTGAATTTTTTTTAGATTTGAAGAACTCCAGGATGGAAATATGGGAAGAGCTAGAAAAACCCAGTATTCATTACAGAACAGGACTTGCATTTGTTTTTTAAAAAATAATGTTTGTTTGACAATCAATTATGTATAATAGGTTATGGATATGGGGTGGGAAAAGTAAAACTTTTACAAATGAAAAAAAAAATCAGCATAACAGGAAGCCAGCATGAGTCACTTCTACTCACAAATTACTTAGGAACAAAGACTTAAAACTATCAGAGTCAAGAAACTGACATTTTAACTTATAACTTAGTGTTTATAGCTCACCTACTTGCCAGAAGAACTTGGTGAAACTTAAAATGTGAAAAGGCCTAAGGAAAGACAGCTCACTGTTAAAATGAAGATAATCACTTAAGAGAGAAGTACTTCATTGTTCAAGGGATTTTGGCTCTACAGGGATTTTTACTTACATTTCTAATCCAAGGACTCAAGTTGTTAAATATTCCCCAGGCCTCTGACAAATGTTCCCCTTCTCCTTCTTAAGTTCTCCACTATTAGCCATCCTTGCATTCTTTGTTTTACACATTTCCCCTTAGGATTCTTCATTACACCCATGAAATGATTACCAGCTGTTCACAGTTACCTCCCAAACCGATTGCCTACAGTTTCAACCTAGATGTTTCACAGTTTCCTTCAACTCAGTACCGCCAAGTTCAATTCATTATTGCCCTCTCCATCCAGGTTCCTATCTTTATCTCCATCTTTGTTGTTACCACCCATGGAAACCTGGATCATACTTACATTATCTACATATCTAATTGGTCACCAGGCTTTGTCCTAACAGCACCCAAATAAATCTAATCCTCCTTCACAGTTTTCTCTATTTCTCTAGCTCATATGCTCACGCTCCCTCCTGGAATATTACTAAAGCCTTCTAATTGGCCTCCATAGCTCCAGGGCTCAACTACCTTCCTCCAACCTTACCACTGCTCCACTGGATGTCCAAGAAGCAAGCAAACAACAACAACAACAACAAAAAACTAGATCTGATCATCATAGTGTTTGACTCTCAGTTATTCAATAGTCTTCTCAGCTCACAGGATGACAACCTCCTTCATGTGGCACATGATGTCCTTCATGTGGCACATGATGTCCTTCATGTGGCACATGATGTCCTTCATGGTGTGGTCCTATTAAAATATCTAGTCTCATTGAAGAATGAGCTGTTCCACCTAAGCAAAATTTTAAAGAGAATTACGACTTTTCTACAAGTATTATGAAAATAATTGTATTTGTGTTGCTAACAGTATTTCTAATCTTATATTGTGTCTTTTCAACTGATAACTCTAGGCATAATTTTACTTGTGGTGGCCCATGTTACCATTATAGATCCTGACTCCTGGGCTATGTAATCACAGGCAGAGGCTGTCAGGGGTTTCTAAGGTATGTTAGGCTACTTTCCTCTTCCCTCAAGTCCCAGCATTATAGTTGGCAAAATCTGCTTCTTTCACCATTTCTTCTCTCACACTAAGCCTGTTAGAGTTTACCAACCTCTCGTGCTGTCTTTTCTTCTGTCCATGGTACAATTGTATCCTCTGTAGATACAATTGCTGGTGTGAAACCAGTCATCTTAGTTTCACATATAATTCTTAATCAGTGGATTATAGTCTGAGAACTGGGAGAGGAACCAACTTTTTTTCCTCTGAAATAAAGTTCATGAGCTCTGTTTCTCTCTTTGCTTACTCTTCCACTTAATACCACATGTATGACTGTGTTTTTCAGGGTTTAGGAGATTGATTTTTTTAGTTTAAGTAATCAAGGTCTATTACAATTAGAGTTTAGTGAATTGACTTAGGAATTCGTCTGGTTGTTCATAAGAGACCAAGGATTAGGACTACAGAAGCTCCAATCCTTGTTTCCCTCTTAACCCATGTATTTCTGTAAAAGAGGCTCAGCCCAGGCATGTGGAGCCACTGCAGCTGATTCATGGCCAGCTCCAATAGATTGCTTGTATCTGAATTCCATGAGAATTGCTCTCGATCTAAGGGATACAGAATGAATCCATGTTAGGGATTAGATAAAGAAATAAAAATACCTCTTAAAAAAAGCTAAGCGAGCAAAAAGAAGAGTAGCTCAGTGTTGGCAGCAATACCCAAAAACGTACACCCAGCATTTGGTTCATTAGGTTTGTCATTTTGAATATTGATGTTTCCCTCCAAAAAAAAAAAAGGTAATAAGGAGGATGTCTTTGACAGTGTTGTAATTGTAGGAAAAGGAAAGAACCACTCAGATTTAAGGCATTTGGTCACATACTCTATGTACTGTGATGTACGCATATGCATATCTATATTCTATACCTCCTAAACATCCTATGATTCCCAGCATTGTGTTCCAAATGGAAGACATGATAAATAATTTTTTCTTAACTATGTCTTTAAATATGTAAGATATATCTGATCAAATGAAAAAATTTAATGTGAAACATCATTGTGTAATACAGGATTACCAGAAGCATATGGGATTTGCTTTGGAAATGAAATATACATCAGGGTTGTTGGGAAAAGGCTAAAGTTCTTTAGGAAGCCAGGTTGCTTTGCATGTCCCGTGGATTTGGGGTTCAGAATTGACTCAGAAGGTATAATCCCACATACTGAGTCACACATATCTGCATTTTCTCAATCATGGTCTTCCCCAAGCCAGATCCTTCTGTATTAACTCATGGTAGTGAAGGCACTTTTTAAAAATGGGGCATTGTAAGGTACAGAGCATGAACAGCAGGCCCTAATGGAAAAGTAATAGAGGCTGAAGTAGAATCTGACGGCTGGTGTTAGTTTCTAGGAATGAGCAATTCAGAGCCTGAAAGTTTCATAGCTGACCAAGGGACCAGACAGGAAGAGAATTCCATGTATGCAAAGAGGTTCAGAGAAGGTAGCTTAACCCAAGACAGAGAAGCCAGGCAGAGCAAGGAGGCCAGAGTCCCTGCCCAAGACTTGTGACTCATACAAGTAGCAAAGGTGACAATGGCCAATGAGCTAAGTCTTCTGCTGTTGTGCTACACGACAGCTGACAAACGTGGGGAGACAGGGAGAAAGAAGGCTTCCAAGTGGCTAT